TTTGTGTTTTTCAAGTATGATTTTTTTCGAGGCAAAACATTTTGTGTATTTAATTTGTGCTTGTTTATTGAATCAATTTATTAATAAACATCCTGTGAGGATAATGTGCTTTATTATCATTTAATTGTATAGGGATTATTTTGTTTTACTTGTTACTTAAATTATTTAAATTTATTCAGCCAACTCCGTTTTTGTAATAGAGAATAGCAGTTTAAACAAATTTGGTTTGTTTGTTGTTGCAGTGTCATTTTAATGCATTCTCTTGCCGCATTCACTGTCTTTCTTAAATCTTAAAAGTTCCTAGTGGTTTTGAAAAGTTACATTTTGATGAATAAATCAAGGGATATCAGCAGTAATGTGACATTCGTTTAGATTTCATTGTTATTTTGTTAAATTATGCTGTTCGTTTCCCCACTTGTCTGTTTCAAATTTAGCCTATTTCAAATTTAGCCTGGTTCTCGTTTGCTAAAAAAAAAAAAACAATTTAAAATGCGTAATGATTTGTTTGCAAACACGGGTTTTTACTTTTTAATAAAAAAAAGTGAATTTTTCCTGAAAAAATATTTCTATTATGATCTTATTCTACTACTTAAACTATCTTTTGACGCGAGTTGAAAATATTACATTGTAACGTGGTTTTATGCAATTTTAGACTGCATGTACATGTACTGGCATTATTCAATCTTTTCCAAACAATTTATTTTTCTTATGCACGAAGACATAGATGGTATGGGGAATCTTGGCTGAAAATAACTCATAATTTGTGGAGTTCGACTTGTGCCATTACAATTTTTTTGAATTGTGTATGTCTGCAGCACTTTGCGTAATGCTTGACTGGGTTAACTCGTCTCATTTAGTTAGTTAAACTGGCCATTAAGCACACGCGGGAACTATCATCAGCCACAAAATAGGGGGCCCTTTTTGAAAATGAACGGACATTATCTAAGGACATAATGGGACTTGACGCGATTGAAGAAGGGGCTTTTGTAGCCGGCCGGCCCTCGGAGTTATTTCGATGATGGCTTGGGGAAATGATGGTCAATCTCTGTTCTGATTGCTACTAGAATAATGGACGGACCTACCCGCTTTTACTTTCAGGGTTAAAGCATTTTGACCGAGGCTCCATCGACAAATTCAGATATTAAACGTTTGTGACAGCAACTTTAAATTATGGCTCATAATAATTATTGTATGCTGGAGAAAGTACTGGTCTACATTATAAATAAACGAGTTATTTTTTTCATAGTATACAGGGTGGCCTGAAAAAACACCGGAACGGCATACTTCCACTACCTTGAGACTCAAACCACCTGTACCAATGGATGGAGAATCTTTTTCGAAGAAATATGATACCAAGATCTCCCGTTTCGGTTGGTCCAGTAGTTTTGCTGCAGAGCCTATATTTTGTGAAGCACACATCTTTTATGCAGGCATTGTTACATAACAATTAATCCCTCCATCCAATTAAGTCAAATTCGGTTAGTAATTTATCGAGACAACTGACTCCTAACTTTTTTTCCACAAAACAGGCTCTAGATCAAACTTGACCGAATCGGGCGATCTTTGTATTTCCCATGCATTGATATAGGTTGTTTGGTCTCATGCAGGGTAGCAGAAGTTCGCCGTCCCGTATTTTTGGGCCATCCTAGCCTTTGACGTCATGTGATGCATAGGCCTATTGCTATGATATCGCTGTACTCTGTGGACTCCCTATAAACCATGTTAAAGAAATTGTTTACAAATCGGATGTTGTTATTACGTCATGCCAACGTTCAGTCCTCTTTTGCACATGACATCTCGTAAGATGTGATTGGTGTAGAAGTGGTGACGTAAAAAGTTTAATGTGGGCAAATTAAACAACATGCAAAAGATGCTGGTCGGTTGCCCGTTGTGTATGACGTCACTGGTCTACATACAAAGAGAGAAAGCCAGAAAGTTAAAGGGTTTATTAGCAGATGTTTGCCTTCAGAGGCGGTCCTTTCGAAATTCTTGAGCAAAATATCTACTATATTAGATCCCGCCATCAGTTTGCGTTCTCTTCGTGGTCGTCAGATTATTTTCTTAGCGATAGCGTTCCTGCTTGCGGTGCGTGTTCGTCATACCAAAACTGCGGAATTAACGTGAGCCAACTTTATTGAAGGCTGTTTCTTCCGTAAAGCGTTTGCATCAGTCAAGACATATAGGCCCTAATGCGTGTGTGAGAAAAAAAATATGCTTCATTTGTGCTTAATCCCGCAATGTGCATGTACTCATCCAATCAAGCGAGGAACCTTACTTGAAGAATGCATTCTTCCTCGCTTGATTTGAATGTGGGTAAATAAATAGATCGGAAGATTGCTCAAGTAGAAAAACTGGACATCACATGATTCCAAAAATCATGGGTTAAGTTGAAATCGATGTGGTTTGTTGTTTGGCTGTTTGTTTGTTTGTTCACTTGAAATATTTTTTGGCCTGTAAGTTAGTTCCTCCATTGTCATCTTAAACGTCCGCCGTCTACGAGAAGTGTTCAGTAAATGAGGCACTCACAGCTCCGCCCCGGATATAGTGTGCCATGGTTTGATCATGGAGGAACAAGCATTTCTCCATGGTTTGAGAGTTCTCGTGTTATCTTCAGAATCATCGCATTCGCAAGAAAATTTATATGAAGACGATCGAGGCGGTGAATGGTTGCCTCGTGTAGGTCATCCAACCAAGATAAACAGCTCGCATCTGTTTGCTTCCAGATAATTAATTATGGTTTTTGTTAGCCGCAGTCGTTGATATCCGGAGCTTCTGAGAATATGCCGTCATTTTTTTTAAGAAATCTGCTAGGACTGTTTTGCACACTCACTTCTTTTTTTTCGCAACAGCCTGTCTCCATCCCGCCTCGTGGCAGCTATTCGTACGTGGTGTAGGCAACTTCGTTTTCATTATCAACGTGGCCAGCTCGCTTGCATGTTTTGATAACACTGGGACCCATTAATTTCGTCGAATATCTCGAAGCAAGCCTTCCGCAAGAATACACGTACAATGATGCATTGCCACATCACGACAGTTTGTTCAATGGCATTTTAAATTAATATGGATTTATCAAAAACAAATTATTTAGTTTTATTTGCTCCTATTATAATTTATATATACAGTGTAAACATATCAAAAATGTTCTGTTTTGACATTTTTGTATAAGAACCTAATTGTTAATTTTTTTCGTTTTAGTCTGTGTGGATTTGTTTCCCCTACTGTATTGTGTTTCACTTATTCTATTTCCCATTTATGGTTAATATATAGGCACGATTATAGTGGACTAGAAAAAAAAATTGGGGGGGGGGGTCAATAACAATCACATTGTAAATAGTAATGCGCTGACTCTGAGATGGCGCACATTTTATTAACACATTAGTACGTGCTGGCTTTCTTATGTCCCGACCACCGCGCAGACCTATTCTATCCTGATTTTATTACTAGCCCGTAATATAGAGTCGACGCGTACCAGTTAAAAGCGATGATTCACGGCAGCAATGTCTTTGAATCCTGCAATAGTCACGGATAGAAATCAGAATGCAGCGGCACGTCAAACAGGAGGATATGATCGTCATCAAAAGCTTCCGAGAAAACAGCCACCCCTCAAGACTTAGGGGAAATGGCGATGCCGAGCCGAGCGTTGTGTGTTTGCCTTGGAGCATAGCTTGGTGAACAATGGGGTGCAACTTTCACGGACCTTGGGAACTACTTCACGTGCTTGTATTCGGGGACCCCTACTGTGGAACCGTCTCGCCTCTTCTTATGGCTGGCGAGTGGCTAGCGGAGAATAAGATGATGTTTAATCGATGGAGAAGCACTAAAGATGAGGAAGTTTTTTTCTGCTATTCGGATTAAGTTGGATAATCTGTGTAAATGGTCCGAAGATTATCTATTAAGCTTGTTTATCCGGGGGCGTTTTTTTTGGGACGGCTGGGGGATAATGGTCAGGCGGCGAGTAGTATATGGTTACTAATTCCATGCAGCTACTTTTTTCTCCATGTGATTCTGAAGACAAAAAAAAAGTTACAAAAGGGTTTCATTTACCTGAATCAGCAGCCCACCCCACAACAATCGAAATCGTTACTGGTCTTTGAAAGGCATGGAGTGACGTCAGCTTGGTCTCGTGACGTCAGAAATGACAGGCCACATAATGGCATCACGACATTTGAGATTTTATGTAAGACAAAATTAAGTAGAAGAACTTTCCAAACCGTGTTTCTTTTTTTAGAACATCGTGCACTCGTAATCAGTCATAATCTGTGATTCTGAAATCTTACAAAATACACACATGTACATTTTTTGTCTTCACAAAAAAAGGGAATAAAGCCCATCCAAGAAACGTCCCATAGTTTGGCAATTTTCAGGATATTGCCATGCATGCATTTTCCATTTAGGGAGAATATTGATCAAGAAAAAATGCCTTTATGCATGGCGATGGCAGAAATAAAGGCTTTATGCAACTAACCAATTTAAATACAATTTAGACATCAAGTTCATTTCAGGCCCATTGCAACTGGCGTCGAGTGCGGCTGTAATAAGCAACACGCAACCGTCGCAATAAAGCAATTATTATATGAAATTGCACGGCAGATGGGGACATCAAATACTCCGATAAAGTAATTTGCTACAGACTGTGTCTCTCTACAGTGCTCGGCATTAATCAGTTGGGACAAATGAGAAAGAAAACAGTCCTGATTCACCCTACTCGAACTCCCCGAATTCATATTAAAATTTATCTAGCTTTCTTGGAAGACACAAAATAACGTGTGAGCCGCAAGAACAATTTCACCTCAGCCAGAATCGTTTATTTTTCTTGTAAATAAATTGCCTGCATAGTGCGTTGCAAATATAATGGCCGTCAACATCACTTTATCGACCGGCTTCCCATGAAAAAGAGCTATCTCTTTCCAAGATCTACTTCCGATCTAAGCGGTAACAAGACTTTTTTGTTGTGATTCCGCGGGTGATGACGACATAACTGATTATCGGACCCTAACAGAAGTGTGCACATGTAATAAAGGGGCGTTTATAAACAAGAACCAACGGAAACGCCGCCACATGGGTCCACTACAGCTTACACACAGGAGCTCTTGCTGATACCTGTTGCACACAGTAATGTCAGTTTTGTGTTACTGTGGGAGTTGCAAGGAAACATGATGAACGAAACGAACTTAACTCTAGTCGAGGATGATGTTGGCTTACGAGTGATAGAAGGCATAGCCTTCGTGAGTATAACTCTCCTGATTCTCACCGGGAACTGCCTTTGCCTCCTGGTCTTAAGACTCGCCCGGGACATGAACCATGTCACCCGGGTGCTACTCATCTCACTGACCGCGGCAGACCTGCTCATGGGGACGGTAGTCGCTGCGCCGGTGCTGGGTACTGTCATCACCCACGGCTGGCCGTATGGGTACGTCTTCTGTGCCATCTCAGCCTCCGGGAATCAGATCTGCGCCACTACGTCTCTGTTCTCTCGCTCCTCCTGATCAACGCCGAGCGGTATATCTGCATCTGTCGCCCGTTGAGGTACCCTAGTATAGTCACGGTCAACCGAGCCCGGGTTGCTGTCGTCTGCGTGTGGGTCTTTGCTCTGTTCCTTGGTCTCTCCAACTGCTTCCTCCCCGGCAGAATTGCCAACTATCACGAGTACCTCCACTCGTGTTTCTTCGACCCTTTGTCCGGTGAGCCGGACGTCATGGGCACGCTGTGTGTAATTCTCTTTGTCTTCGCGCCCTTTCCAGTCCTCATCTTGATGTACATCCGCATCTTCGTGATCGCTCGTCGTCACGCTAAGGATATGGAGGCTCGAGCCATCGCCATGTACGAGCAAGCTCAGCGACTCAGCCTACAGGAGAACGGCCGGGTCAGCTTGGACCAAGGACGACGGAGATTCTTCCCCGAATACAAAGCCGCCAAAACATTCGGCATCATTACTCTCACGTACGCAATGGCATGGATGCCTTTCTTCAGCATCGTCATCTACGAGAACCTCACAATGACAAAAGCCCCACGAGGTTTAACCGTTACAGCATCGTGCATGGCGTTATCTAACAGTTGGTTAAACGTTCTCGTCTATTACGCCCGCAATGCAATTTTCCGGACAACGGCAAAGAGAATGTTGTCTGGACGTCGTCACCGTTATTCAGCTTCTAGTAATAGATTCTGACATTTTCAGTGTACGTATATCAATTTCAGACTGAGCATTTTAAATATTTAGAATTCATAACATATATTCTTCACTTCACCGATATATCTGATTGTCGACTTCTGAATGGCCTCCTTCACTCTCCTTGACAAATTTGTTTTCAGATGTGTCCGTTTGGGTTAACTTCATGACAAAATAGATGCAGTGGATGCAATTGGTTGTTTTCAATAGTTATTTGAAGAAAACAAAATCGGCTTCCGTACAGTATGTATATGAGACAATGCAAAATATGTGACAATTAACTGCTTGGTTTTCAATAGAACTAAAGTTGTTTTGACCAAATTAATGTTTACTTACAAGCCAGGCTGTTCAAACATTAAAAAGACGTAGACCTAAATATTATCTCGATGTATATCCCAACAGAATAACAAAACTTGAAAACCAAACAAAAACACCTCCCTAAACAGTCAAATTACTCTACCATTTAGCCTGCATCGGATATTTTGTGCATGGTAAATCGTACCTAATGCGGTTCATTGACGAGTCACAGGAGGTTAATAACGTTGTACTTACCAAGGTTACTTTAGATTGGCTTCCTAATTCGATTTTGATTAAATATCTTGTAAGGTAATTTAATGGACATGATTGTGTTATTCTCTTAAATGACTCAGTGCAAGGCCCATTACTGTGATGACCCGCTCATTTTGGTCAGGCTTTTACCTAGCTAACGTGGATGTCGCACCCGCTATATAAAAAACATACATTTTTCGTAAACTTTTTTTCCTTTCTTGACTTATTCAAGTTACGCTGCCTGGTAACTTTAAACAAAAGACTGGTATCATCAGTAAACACAATATACTGTTGAACCGTGTAGGATGATATTCTGTGCATGTAAATGTTAAACAAAAATATTCCCATGGCGATCGAACGCTTCTTTTTACGTGGTTTTACCTTTGCAAACTGCAAGTTTATGATTGTCAGTTCTGGTATTGTATTGTGGCTAGCTATCTGATACAGTTGTACAGCGATCGGCGTAGGCATATCAGTAATAATACATGCCCTCTTCACCTGATAGCTGTTGACAAGAGATACATATTCCTGTTTTATTCGCAGAACAAAACTAAAGATCATAGTCATTGTCGTAACAATAATACTACTGTCCTTTGTTGCCGTGTTCAGAAACAGCGAGTTAGAATTGATAAATATTTAATACCGTACTTACTATGGTGCATTGACTCTGAAACTTATCATCTGTCACAGATGTGGTAGTATTTTTGCTCTTGATAACATTCTGTCTTTTTGGTTTTTACTGGTTAGGCCCTATTGATTTTTGTTGTCAAAGGCATATTTCTTATTTAATAGCTTCACAGAGTTCAAATTGTTCATCGAGATTATTTTTAAAAACAAGCTTCAGTACAATTGAAGTTTTAAGTATCGATATCAAATTCTGGCTACCTCGTTCTGGGATACAACAATAATAAATCTTCTTGAAAACATGTTTTTAAAGTAGTTTCTGTTGTCTGAATATTTCGGTTTTAACTGCATTTACCCAATTTTGTTTTTACTGACATGTGAAAAATGATATCTCATTATTTCCGTTTCTATACGCCTTTTAAAAGATGACAGATTACGTCCTTGCAAAATTTGTGACTCGAGGTTCTATCTGCAGCATATCCGGCTCTTCCTCTCATTACACCAACAGCTGGTACTCTTGTGAAAGCACACACGGAATTCTGAAAACAACTACTCCATCGGCAAGCATTCCAAGTGATTACGGAACACAGGTATCTAATAAATGTCTGTTTTTTTACCAAACGTCTTCAATCAAAGAACGGGGAATATCCGTCCAAAAAAATATTCAGGCCCGTAGGCACAGTAGGCGCTGTGTGCCTAGGGCGCCCACGAAAAATTCGGGGCCTACAAAAAATTGAGGGCCTACGAAACATACCACTGTGTGCCAACACCGGGCATTTAGAGCTATACCAGTTTGGACAGGCTTGCTTAGTACAGCTTAGCATCAAGCCATCAACATGAAATTGGTGATGTGCTTAGTGCGTAATAGGGCCTTCAAAACACTGGTGCTTGGGCATACGGACAATTAATCCGGCCCTGAAAATATTGTGAAGGAAACGCAAAGCATCATGGGTATAAATTGCTGCCAAGATCCATGCCATATACACTTCTACAAAAACGGGAAAATATCTTTCCCCACCACGACAAAAATGACAATTTTGTTTGATCTATTCGAAACAGCTGACAGATTTGAAAACAATTATCGTAGGCCTACCCCTAATTGCCCAGAATATCATCAGCCTGAAAGCTTCAGTACTGAATGGTTTCAATTTGCCGGCTATTTCCTGGTCTCAACGAATGACGTGAACGCAATTGACAAAACATTATTTGCATTTTGATTGCAATTATTGCCCGTAATTATGTTGACTGTTACATTTTGCCTTAAGGAGCCAATTTATAACACAAAAGCCACCTTAATTGATGACGGGCCATTGCTTCAATGCTGATTGAAAATGCTTTGTCACTTTATTATGTCGAGCAATTTATTCTACACCTCGTAATGAACTCCACATTAGTCTGCGTCGAACACTAAAACAGAAGAAGCTCCTGCTCTATAAATTTACTCTGTGATTGAAGCCAAGCAATTTCGCATAGAGCGTCTTTTTATCATGCACTTCTCCAATGTGATTGGTTGAGGGCGCTACAACCGAAGACCGGGTTGAAGACCGCTTTGCGAAAACAAAAAGGACGGGACAAACTTAGTAGGCATGCAACCCTCATTTTTGCGTCATAGTTATGCACTAGTGCGTTATGATTCAAGGCCATTCTGTGTGTCCAACAGCAAGTAACCATGGGCGTCGCCAGGATTTTTTATAGAGGGGGCAAAAACAAAATTTGCCAAAAAATGCTTGTATTTCTCAACACATTCTCGATTTATCAGTTTTAGAGGGGGGCAGGGACATTTTGCCCCCCCCCCCCCCAACTCATTAAATTTACACCACTTTGTCTTCGCGCCTCTTTTTCTTTTCTTTTTTTCTTTTCTTTTTCCTTCCTTTTTTTTTTTTTTTTGCTTTTCCAGGGGGGGGGGGGCAAGTGCCCCCCCTTGCCCCCTCCTCGCGACGCCCATGCAAGTAACGGTTGCCACAACTCTCAATGGACATAAGGAGTATTCCTCTTCCCAACAGCTGCCAAACGATAGAGGGCGCTTAAAAGCAATTTGACTTAAACTTCTTTTGACGGACAGAGGGGAGTGGTTGTTTCTTGTATTTGTTTATAATTGAAAAGTGAATGTGATATCGCCAAAATACCGATTCTTCGTGAATTTGCGTTGACCTGATTGTTGGGTCATAACTGTGTTGCTATTGACCCTACACAGTTGACACTGTAATAAGTCACACTAATAGACCTATTCGAGTCCAATCATGCCCCTTGTGTTCTCGAACAATGATTGCCACGGCAACGTCTCAAGGAGTTGTCTGGATGATTGGGATGATGTAGGAAGAAAAATCGATGATCATTAAGTCAGTATCAGACAAGTGGTGTTAAAAAATAAATGGATTTTGGGTGACACTCAATATTTGTCGGATCACTCGTTTGGAGAATTTGCAGACCAAGGTTAATGTCCTCATAACATGTCGCAGAAAAGTAATCGTGCTCGCGTGAAATTTTAGTTAGTTTGTGGGGATCGAGGTATGCATTCTTGCGCTTAATTCTGGCGTCGCATAAAACAGCCGTATACCGCACTCATTCACACTGAGCTACACCATGGAGCTATATAGCTCCATGGCTACACATACAGACATATTCAAAAACTTCACCCCAATCCGAGCATAATTTTCTTTCACCAAGCCGTCGAGAACAGATTTGCACAGATGTTCGTTAATGCGACACAGCCCCGGGAAAGTTCCGGGAATTATTCCATCAAACACGCCAATAGTTCATTGAAATCTGTTTTTATTATTCGAGTGAATAAAACATCAGTCTAGCCAGGGGCGGATCCGGGGGGAGGGCGTGGGGCGCACCCCCCCCCCCCCTTTCATTAAAACAAACAATTAATAGGGCAGTTGGTGTAAGACCGTAGCCTGCTAGGATTAATTGCACATAAGACAACAATCATTATTGGGGTCTATCATACTTTTACTCAAATTAAAAAGCGGCGGGACAAAGATAACTGCGACGGGACAGAGGGCGCACGCCACGAGACAGAGGGCGCGCACGACGAGACAGAGGGCGCACGCGACGAGACAGAGGGCGAAAGCGACGAGACAGAGGGCGCAAGCGACGAGACAGAGGGCGCAAGCGACGAGACAAAAAAGGAAGCGACGAGCGATAGGAGACCTATGCTGTAGAAATTAATATGCTGTATATTACAGGAAAATGCACACAGACTCCTGTAGCAGGGCGTCGTGGCACGCCTTGGGCATGGGTGTCTATCGAGGGGGGTGGGCTTTTTGTCGTGTCCCCCCCCCCCCTTTTTTCGTCCCCGAATAAATGTTGTAGGCTTCAGTTTTATGATAATTCAGGGTAGCTGATTCTATGACTCCAACTCAAAAACGATGTTTAAATGATGATCTTTTGCTCAAAAAATGGTTAAAGTCGTCAGATATTGCCTGAGATTGCACCATAGAGCATCTAGAATCCAAAAATCGGACCCCTCGCCGTTAGGGCTTCGCGCGCTACGCTCTCGCATTACTTTCAATGACATTATGCCCCCCCCCCCCGGCCTTCGGCGTAGGCGCCACAACTTGCCCTGACCACGGCTGCACGTCACATTTCACGCCCCCTCCCCTTTTGGAAAATCCTGGTTCCGCGGCCTGCTAGCGTTTATATAATGGAGAAATCATTCAGCCTAGGTTATGGGTACACGCAAGAATCTAATGAAGTAAGCGCGGGGTAAAATCTTTTTTTATTACTCGAGTGAATAAATATCAGTCTAGCGTGGATAAGATGGAGAAATCATTCGAACACTGCTAGTTTATGTACAATGTGTACCCGCAAGAATCTCAATGGTACAATCATCCAAAAATAAAAGAAAGTGTTTGAAAGCATGTCATGCAGCACTGATTTTGCCTACCAGCAAGTTTAGTTTGTAATGGAGGAGCCAGTCAAACGGGACACAGGCTACTATAACCTGTTCAAAGTCAGGGTACCATACAAAAATCGCGCCACGCTTGGATTTTATATGAGATGCTATAAAATGTATTGCCGCGGCCAAGAGGGTTAAGGGCCGCAGCAAAAACAGTTCATGCTGTCTACAGTGCGTCAAGGTATTGTAGCATAATTATGATGTTGTAAGAGGCAAAAAGCCATTCTATTGTCGAATTTCAGTACCGAATGTTGTCATTAGTGCCATATGCCACTGTGTGGCATGGATATTTTAAGTCATTGGTCCTCTGTTTCAATGACAAAATTTAAATTCATCTTTTCGTCTGTGGAATTCATTCCCAATTTAATAAATTTAAACGAGCAGTGAGGTTTTGAGAAATAAAAATACCCAAAAAATTCATCAAATTTATTTTTTAAGTTCTATTTCCAGTTTATTCGCACTGCTTGGCACATCTTTCTGCCTAGACCACAACACAATTTGGTAAGACACCAGCATATGGCGACTGCCATTGCGGCAGTGACGCCAATTACGTCCAGTAGGTAGTACTGAACGGATGACAGGTGCATGGAGCGTGGCTTGAGATGCTCGGTGCCGTGTCGGACGGCGTACTCCACCCAGTAAGCGACCTCTTCCAGTGGGGTCATCGGCATGACGCGGTCACGAGCAATCCCAGATAGATGCAAGGCTGCTAATTTGTACCTTTGGAACCAAATTAGGAAGAAGAGATTTCACTTTGCAAAGATGTCATATCAAATATTGTTGTGCGTCAATCTCGATCAGTTGCATAGCGAGACATTGTTACTGTGAGGAGAACGTTACTTGAGAAAAATCATAACTTGTTCTGACTAAGGGCGGATCCAGAACACATTTTTATATTTATTTTTTTTTTTTTGGGGGGGGGGCCAAAGAAACTTTTGGTCCCCCAAAAAGTGGGTCCAAAAATTACGGCGTGGGGTTCGGGGTTCTGACGACAGAAAATTAAGCGAAATTGGTGTTACGCCAACGATCGCAGATATCAATACCTCAGAATATTCAAAAGTTGTTGCGGGTCTAATTTTTAGTGAAGCTTTTTGAGTGCTTATTTTGACGGATTTAAATAAATAACAGAAAATTTGCAACGGTTCAAATGCATTGTCACAAAAATCTGCTTTGCAGTTAGCCTTCAACTCACGTTTTGTTATAAATGACTTCCACGGCAGCGTCATATATTGAACGTTCAGTCAGACGACGAATATCGACAAGAACCGCCATCCCTTTGGCGCGTAGTCTAATGACGTTATCCGTTTGGTCACCAAAGACTGGGATTCCCACGATCGGTACGGCGTGGTAAATGCACTGATGAAGGCTGCTCAAGCCGCCGTGGGAAATAAAAGCCCGCGTCTTCTGGTGGCCTGTAAATAGAAAGGAGGGCAAGGTAATTTGGTGCACCGAATGCTGATCAGACATTGCAATCAATTAACTACATGTAGTTATAACCCATACTAATTAGTTATACTTGGTAGTATGGTTAGTAATATAGCAGTTAACCATAACTAATTAGTTTTAAAAAGTATGGCAAATACGATATATTAATATTTCGTTATGATACTTTTGGTCACCTTTGTTACATTGAAGATAATTATGAGCATGGTATAATTTAACCATAGGTAGGCTTAAACCTGGTTACTGTCTGGTTGACAACCACTTAAACTCCGCAATCTGCGTAAGTTAATTACTTCACCATATTTTCCAGCTTATTAATAATGGTTAGTAAGAGCTACACCATAACCTTTCCTACCATATAGTTTTGGTATTCCAAAGATTAATAGTCCAGAGCAAAACTAACCTGTTAATAAGTTACCATTTTATTTTTATTTAAAGTTACGTTAGGCCTACATGATCTTACCAAGCAGGTCGTTTTGCGGCAGCCATTTGACAACCTTGGTGTTGTTACCGAGAGCCTTTGGTAGTTTACCGCCGTAACTCCAAGCCACCTTCTGAGAGAGTAGAGCCAGACTGGAGGCGATGTTCTCAGCTTGTTGCTCCGTCAGTTCATCGTTGATGAGAGTTCCCAGTGCTAGAATGACTATGCCGTGGTCGCCCGAGCTATCAACAAACGACTGCCACTCCTTCCACGAAAGTAATACAATAAAATATTGATACAACTATGCATAAATTATACAACTAGCCTCAAATATAAAGCAAAGGGCAATTAGGCCTAGTTCGGATTAATTAGGAGACATATCATCAGTACTTGGTATAGAAGTAAGACATGATTCGATTTAAAGACGTGAAAAGTCAAATGAGACTCCGTGGGTTCCCTATGGGCCCGAGTCCACTTTGAACGCTCCCGAAACTTGGACTCGCGCTCCTCCAATTTTCAGCGGAGGACGAGAGAAACTTCATGATCCGCATTTTCTCACCTGATAGTTTAGCCCTCGTTTTTGTTGCTGGCTAGCACTGCTGTGCAACCGGCCCTGCCTTAGCCAACGGCGCTGGACACCTCAATTTCTTTCTCAATTTTTATGAGGGAAATGCTGACGCTCAACGCATTATTTACCGCCTATCCCGATGACATATTGCTTGCTCTATTGCGCCGCGTCGCCATCTAACGATTACTTCCAGTCCTCTAAACGATGCTTTGAATTGTGGCATATCAAGTCCAATACCTCATTCAGTGGTTTCGATGGACCCGTGAGGACACCCCCGACGAACTTGACATGAGGACTCAGAGGCCGGGGGAATTCAAACGCGAAATCCTCGTTGAAAATCCACATGGCGGCCTCCGAGAGAAGCTGCCCAAAGTTCGCATCTGGGCGGATGTTCCGCTTTTGGAGGACCTCGTCCATCGGCGTCAGCATGAACTTGTAGTAGAAGTAGCCGGTGATCCAGTACAGGAGTGTGTTTTTCCTGCGCTCTTGGAAAGTCATGGTATCGGTGAGAGAGCTGAGACGCTCGGGGACGTAAGCCGGGTGGATCGGATTAAAAGCAAATCGGTCGTGCTGCGATGGTACCATTGAAGTGAGCCCAAAATTAATGTACGGTACCTTAAGAACCTGACTAAGAAACACTTGATATAAAGTCACCACATCACCGATGATCATATCGAATCCTACTGTCTTTAGCTTCTCGATGAGTTGGGTGTTTCCCAGCATATCATCGTTGACGAAACTGGACGCCTTGAAGACGTCCACTTTCCGTCCAGCCACGCGTGCTTGTATCTCACGATCCTCGGCTTCGATGCGGTATTGCAGGGCCGTGTTGGCGCGCTCGTCTCGCAACTGTTTGGAGACGTACCGCCGGAGGAACGTGTCGCCATCTTTGTCGGTGAGAGAGGTCTTGAAGAGCGCGAAGTGTATCTGGTCCGGGATCTCCATGCGGCCCTGCACGTACAGGCGATGGGTCTCCTCATTCATGACGACCCATACCTTGTTCCCTCGCGAGGACAAAGTTTTGGCGATTTCGATGCCCGAAATCATGTGGCTGCACATTCCACTTGTAGCAGCCACCAAAATCTTGCATCCCAGAACCGGCTTGAGGTGCAGCAGCATTATCATGCTTAAAGCAAGGAAAACTGATACCCCAAAACATCCCATTTTAAGTTTATTCATCAGTTCAAATGAGGACCAGCAACTTGAATGTCTTGGATGCAGATATGCCCATCCTAACACAAAATTCTCTTAGCGATGGCTTTAGCTTTTGTAAATATTATATTTTATAGATTGTGTTTTTATGATCATATTTATTGCTGGTAGACCCTTAAAGGGAGTGTCAATAAATGTGTAAAATCATATCTCAGTTCATGATTATGCATGGATTAGTATCCGGTTCGTAATTGTGACGTCACTTTCGTTAGTAAACCACGTCCACTGCATTAGCATTGGAACCACTGGAATCGGAAGGATAGTGCAAAGTTGCGTGTTAGCCAATGGGCGCCAGTAATCAGTGGTGCGCGCGCGTGTATGACGCAGTCACTTTACGAACTGGATAGCCAATCAAATTAAAGGGGAGGCGCGACCCAGCCATGATACACAGCAACCAATAAGATAATAGAAGCACAAGGCCATTGCCCGTCTTCAAATACTCGTGTGCTACTGGTCAGGTCTTCAATTTCAATTCAATTCAGTTCAAACTCACATTTATTTCCGTACCCAATAAGAAATATATTAGCAGAGAATACATGAATAAGTAAACGAATAAGTAAAAGTAACAGTTCAAAAGGTGTACGAAGCGAAATTTTATACAGGTAGGTATGGAGGCATTCTCTAGAAGCCTAGGCTTGTGGCGAGATGCCTTGGATGGACTAACACAGAAAAGAAACACTTAGATCCAAGGGCGGATCCAGGGGGGGGGGGGGCGGCCAAAGGGGGCCATGCCCCCCCCCCCCAAAAAAAAAACGAAACCAATTTTTTTTTTAATGTGACGTCGCAATAAAGGCAGGCATTGAGTACACCACCATCTTTTCCTCAAAAAACATTGGTTAAAGTGGTCCGAAATTGCCTCAGATCGCACCACAGAGCATCTAGAATCAAAAACAAATTTCGGGGCCCTTAAGCGGGCCCCGAACCCCACGCCGTAATTTTTTTGGAACCACTTTTTGGGATACCAATTTTTTTTGCCCCCCCCCCCTGATTTTTTGTGTTCTGGATCCGCTCTGCTTAGATCAAGTATACACGAACAGTTGGACCAAGACAAAAGCTAAGCATGAAAACCTACGGATAAACCAGAACAGTACACGTATTGAAAGAGAAAAAATGCTGATAAACAAAACAAATGAGAAGCAAGCTTTGTCAGACTATATTTGGAGATTAGAGCTGTTTTACAGGCATGTTTGAATCGACCCACACTCTACCTGATCTCTAAATTCCTAAGAGTGAAATTAGGGACCGGACGTTAAAGAGTGAAAATCACCCTCATTTTCGATTGAAATAGTCTGGAAAAAAGAACCACTTCAGTCGAAGCTCGAGTGAAAACTCGATCTTTACGATCGAAGAAATTTCACTCTAAAACGTCTGGTCCCTAGTTTCCGACTGTGGGAGTAAATCTTCAACTCGAAAGGAATGAATTTTCACTCTTCAGAATTTAGGGAGTGATGTTATGCTTCTCATAGAAGCTTGCCTATACAGGTTCATGTTTATTTGCTGGAGTAGGCTGCGATACGTAGTACAGAAAAGGATGAATTAAACGCCCTGTCTAGATTGAAGAGGACACGAGGGGATTTAGGGGATTAAGCTGACGGAAAGGGGGTTTCACAGGCCGATTTAAAAACTCTCATAATGCACCTTCGCGCTATCGCATATAAAAGACGAGCTCGCGCTCGAAGATTGATCCCAGGGGCATCCTACGACCGTGTTCACTAACGTATCTCAATTTTAATCAATCTGAAAATAGAAATTGGTAGAAAAAAAGTATATTTAGTGGACGAAGATATAAATTCTGCGCGACGGCTGTTTCATGTTTGCTTTTATATGATTTAACCCTTTGGCTCCCAGGGAAATAAATTACTGATGACTCTCCGGTACCAGGAGCATTTGGAGAAAAAAATTTAATTGTGTATAGCGCCCTCGTACATGCATGGAGGACAGAGCCCATTGCTTGCCCAGCAAATGTAAACAATATGTGAACTAGTAAACCGCCTGCATGTTTATTACCCTTGATGTGTTTGCCATGATTATGTAAACGGACACGCGCTAGTGCAATCTATTTAGGAACTACATGTAGTTCAAGCCCCCCCCCCCCCCCAAGTTCAATGTTGTTGGAAATCGGGCGTGCAGGCAAACTGGCCAATTCCCCTAGCAACATTGCAATGGGGGGGGGGGGCGGGAGGAATAATGTTTATAATCACATAATTGAGTAGTCTGTTTGATATGCTTCAACCATGGAGTTAGATACACAACGCATAATAGGAGACATTTCGTCGAGAGGAGGCGCTATTTACATTGTCGCAAAATGCAGAGTGGCTTGGTGCCAAAAGGAAGAAGTGGCGTTCGACTTTTGGTGCCAAATGGCAAGGGCGGATCCAGGGCGGGGGGGGGGGGGGGCAAAGGGGGCCATGCCCCCCCCCCCCCAAAAAAAAAAACGAAACCATTTTTTTTTTTTATGTGACATCGCAATAAAGGCAGGCAATGAGTACACCACCATCTTTTCCTCAAAAAAACATTGGTTAAAGTGGTCAGAAATTGCCTCAGATCGCACCACAGAGCATCTAGAATCCAAAAATTTTCGGGGCCCTTAAGCGGGCCCTGAACCCCACGCCGTAATTTTTTTGACCCACTTTTTGGCCCCCCAAAAAATTGTGTTCAGGATCCGCCCTTGCTAAATGGAGCCCATGGAAGTGAATGGGTTAATGACACAGCAGTCATGGTTGAGAGCCCTATATTTGGAATGGTATCTATGCTATGAGTTTTATCTTGAACATGTTTCATTAATTTTTGTCGGTTCCATCATTTATATCACCAGGCACACTGGTGAATTCACCAAAAAGATGTAAAGTGTCAAATAATTATGTGATCTAAAACACTTCGGAATGATGGGCAAATATAATGCAATGTAGAAAAATCTCCTTATAAAGGGATATTGGCAGTCTGTTGGCAGCCGCGGTACTCCGCCCTTTTGCGTCAAGTACGTGCTTAGTCTCAAATTAGTCGCATGCGTTCATAATTATGCAAAATCTGTTTCCTGTCCTGCTGAACATTCACGAGGCTACCTGTAAAAGTGCAGGTACCATAGGCTTTCAAACAAATCACAACGCTATACTTGCAAAGAACATACTTGAAACGCAATGTAGCATCAAATGAGAAAACCAAGATTTTGATTTTTTTGGCTGGTAAATCAACGTGATGGTAATCGCACAAACTACAAGGCGAATAATATTTCGATTACTTAAGTACAAATCAGTGAATACTAAATTTCATCATCAGATCTTAGCATTTTTTTTGAGGGGGTTGTTTTCGCAACTTGCCGCCTTACCCCCTCCCCGTACAAATACAAATAATCTTACCACGCATAATGAGCTAAGCTATCACCGACACCACGAAGTACTACACTCCACGTGTTAAACCACATTTTTTTCCGGTTTTCATTCATCAAGGCCTGCCATTGCACGAAATTTCAAAGCTTCAAGAGCTTTACTTTAATAATTACGCTTTTATTATCCATGGCAACTTTTGCGCGAAAGTGACAATTTTCGTTTTCACCATTGTAATGCATGGCGCGCACTCTGCTCAAATGCTAGTCTTGGTTCCAAGACCTTCGTTGAATACTTTTTCTCCCGGCGTGCGAAAATTATATTGCACTAGTACAGGCGCAGCCCGCGATGAAAAACTGTTATCGATTCTGCAATGTACTCGATACTTATTCACTGTGTTTATTCAACGATTATCGATTCTAGCGCGAACGATTCTGTACTTCTGTAATGTACCGCGTATAATCGTCCGTATATGGGTGCAGACCAGTAAATCGGTCCGAAATTGCCTACGCCGGCCAAATCACGATTTGCATGCCCTCAAATCTTCAGTATTTGAGCATGCTGTGGGCCATGAACTTGAGGATTTGTAAAAAATAGGGGTGGAAGTCGTGCACGGGACTGGGAGCTTGCAGTTCTGTGTAATTTGGATGTAATTGCTAGTTTTTACTGGTATGTACATGAGTGTTACTTCGTGGTGTCGATGACGTTCAAACATTCTTTACCTAATTGTTAGGCACTGGGCAGCAAAATGACGAGGCTACCAGCAATCAAGGTGATTTAACGACCACTTCTATGTTATATAAGTCAACACTTCGAGCATCTCATGATAAGATGTGCATATCTGGTGTCGAGACATCAATTGACGGACCTCACTCGCACTAATGGATAAACCTAAAATGGGATGTTTTGGGGCATCAGTTTTCCTTGCTTTAAGCATTATAATGATGCTGCACCTCAAGTCAGTTCTAGGAGGCAATATTTTGGTGGCTCCTACGACTGGGATGTGCAGCCATATGATTTCCAGCATCGAGATCGCCAAAACTTTGTCTTCGCGAGGGAACGAGGTATGGGTCGTCATGAATGAGGAGACCCATCGCCTGTACGTGCAGGGCCGCATGGAGATCCCGGACCAGATCCACTTCGCGCTCTTCAAGACCTCTGTCACCGACAAAGATGCCATCACGTACGTCCGGCGGTACGTCTCTAAACAGTTGCGAGACGAGCGCGCCAGCACGGCCCTGCAATACCGCATCGAAGCAGAGGATCGCGAGATACAAGCACGCCTGGCTGGACGGAAATTGGACGTCTTCAAGTCGTCCAGTTTCTTCAACGATGACATGCTGGGAAACTCCGAACTCATCCAGAAGCTAAAGACAGTAGGATTTGATATAATCGTCGGTGATTTTATCTCATGTCACCAAGTGTTTCTGAGCCAGGTTCTCCAAGTGCCATACATTCATATTGGTCTGACGCCAATTGCGCCGTCGCAGCACGACTACTTTGCCCACACACCGAGCAATCCAGCCTATGTTCCCGAGAGATTCAGCGCGCTCGCCGATACCATGACCTTCCGGGAACGTCTTAAAAACACCTTATTGTACTGGTTCATGAGTTACACCTACCAAAAGTACATACTGACGCCAATGGATGAGGTCCTACAGAAGCGAAACATCAGGCCCGATGCCAACTTTGGTCAGCTGCTGTCGGAAGCTAAACTGTGGATCTTCAACTCCGACTTCGTCGTGGATTTTCCACGTCCGCTGAATCCACAAGTCAAGTTCGTTGGTGGATTTCTGACTGGTCCCGTCAAACCACTAAACAAGGTTATTTTCGAAACCTCATTTGACCAAACAATCAATGTAGAAACAAATAGAGCTGTAGTCAAGTTAATCACAATTATGGTCAAAGGAATATAATAACAGGACGTCTCGAAGACGAGACGTCCTGTAAGGACTCGACTGCAACACTGGAGACGAGTGATCAGTGTTTGCCTCTTCAGATCAACACAACGCAAAATAGATGACGAAATAACAATAGTTGTTATAATCATTATGTTTTAATATAAAAAAATCTCTTTTCCCCAACAAAGGAGTGGCAGTCGTTTGTTGATAGCTCGGGCGACCACGGCATAGTCATTCTAGCACTGGGAACTCTCATCAACGATGAACTGACGGAGCAACAAGCTGAGAACATCGCCTCCAGTCTGGCTCTACTCTCTCAGAAGGTGGCTTGGACTTACGGCGGTAAACTACCACAGACTCTCGGTAACAACACCAAGATTGTCAAATGGCTGCCGCAAAACGACCTGCTTGGTAAGATGAATAGTAAATATATTTTACAATAGTTTTGAACAATAGTAAGTTGGCAACTAGTTTTACTATGCATAACAATGTACAGGTACCGATGTACCAAACGTATAGGCATAGTGGTGGATTTACTCTCTAAATTTCAAAGAGTGAAATTAGGGACTAGACGTTTAAGAGTGAAAATCACTCTCATTTTCGATTGACTCGAAGCGCAGCTCGAGTGAAACCTCGATCTTTACGATTGAAGAAATTTCACTCTAAAACGTCTAGTCCCTAGTTTCCGAAAGTGGGAGTGAATCTTCACTCGAATGGAGTGACTTTTCACTCTTTAGAATTTAGAGAGTACCTTTGTCAAATATGACAGCCGCAAACCGATCGGCTTGATAAAAGCCCTATATTAAAAAGCCAGTAGGCCTATGCTTTGCATTTTTAAAAACTTAAAACTTACGCAGGCTGTACGTTACATGTTAAATTCGTGAATGGGGCACTGGACTTTAATCATTCGGCACCTATAGAAAGGCAGCATTCGGCGAGCTTCAAAACAAACACTTATTTACACGTTGTAAAATATCTGTAACAGTGCTTTATTCCGATACAGTTGTAACGTAAATGCAAGCAAGGTCTCATAGATTGTTTGTTTTCTTTCTTTTTTCTTCTCAAACCTCGACTTTGTCCCCCTTTAGGTCACCCGAAGACCAGAGCTTTTATTTCCCACGGTGGTCTGAACAGCATCCATCAGTGCATCTACCACGCCGTACCGATTGTGGGAATCCCAGTCTTTGGGGATCAGAAGGATAACTTTATTCGTCTCGGCGCCAGAGGAATGTCCATCTTACTCGACATTCGTCGTCTGTCTGATCGTTCCATCTACGACGCCACGGTGGAAGTCATTTATAACAAAACGTGAGTTGAAGGCTGAATTCAAGCCCATTAGAAACGGTTGCTGTTTCTTTTAATATCGTGCGCTCGCTTTCGCTTTAGTTTATACGCCGCGCAAAACTTTAGAGGTAAAGTGATCAAATTGATTTCCATTGCAATATTTTTGTTAGAAATTGCTTAGGCCCAAAAAAAGTCTCCGGTTTCTGGTATGGAGCTTGCCCAAAAAGTGGTGCGGCGACGTGGCTTTTTTTCTTTTCTTTTTTACCTGATTTTTTTGCTTCAAATGTCGACTGATGACCGCAAATGGCGCCCGACTAAACTTAGTGCAAATATATGGGAGTCCAGAGAGGCCACATAAAGCTTATTCTCGACCATAACCCAATCTAAAAACACGTTAAAATTGTGCAGCAGCAGGATTCCAGTCAAACCAGTGAGTTTGGCGGTTTTGAGACATCATCTTTTATTGAAAAACAAACTTTTTCATTTTGCCGACGCGCATGGCTACGGCGACGCGCGCGCATACCCGAAACCGGAGACTTTTTGGGGGGCCTTAGCGTCTTGTTTTTTATCCGTGTAGTCAAGTCCATCACAAGTCCGTTTCAAGTCCATCACAAGTCCGTTTCAAGTCCAGTCACAAGTCAGTAGGAGAAGATAATGAACAATACATAGAATGCCTTTGAAACGTCTTTTGTGACTTGACTCGTTACTTATAATCGATGACTTGTGACAGACTTGAAAATTACGTGAGCCAAAAACATGTCTTTGCGTCCACCATGTTACAGGTACAAAGAGGCAGTCGAGCGTTACTCAGCGATTGCTCGCGACCGCGTCATGCCGATGACCCCACTGGAAGAGGTCGCTTACTGGGTGGAGTACGCCGTCAAACACGGCACAGATCATCTCAAGCCACGCTCCATGCACCTGTCGTTCGTTCAGAACTACCTGCTGGACGTAATTGGCGTCACTGCCATCATGGCTGCAGCCATATATTGGTGCCTTACCAAAATCTGCTGTGGACTATTTAGAAAGTTAAGTCCATAAATGGGTTCATATTTGTAAGACTGAGACAAATGTAACAATGATGAACAGTGGAAAAACGATGAACATCGAAGACGGTATTATTACTCCCAACATTTCAGTCAGAATCGTAGGTTCTGCGTGCACGGGCGTCGCTGAATTAATTCAAGTGTGGGGTTGGGACCGGGAGGAGGGGGGACAATGAAATTTTCCAAAGACGGGTCCGGGAGGGTGGTTATGATAGCCAGGCATTTCCCCCGTTTATTTGGCCGCCGCGAAATCGAAACGCTGGGGAAGGGCGCTTAGGGGTGTATAGGGAGGAGGATTTTGACATTAGCTGACGAATGGGGGGGGGGGGCTCTATTCAAGGCGGACAGGACTGGACGTCTTACAAAAGTTGCCGCTAGGTGGCGCTGTTGAAAGCGGTTTATTTCCCGACACGATTTTTGTCGACAGGACAATATTATGCCAGCTAAAATGACTCACCCCCTCTAGTGACGCCCCTGCCTGCTCGAGAAGATAAGCTTCGAATGTTTTAACCGTTGATTTTCCAGAAAAATTCAAACGTAGGATCACCATATGCTTATCTTGTTATTAATCAATTAACGATATTAAATACCAGATTATCCGAACATAATGCCTAATGCCAACGAAGCATTCGAGAATATACGGATTAAAGCTTAAAAAAAAAGAGAATATTAATTTAAAGATGTGAGATTACAGTTCTTATTTCTGCACCTTTAAGTGCATCCTATCTTCAACTTCATTTAGGTCAATAGAGGGCGCTATACGCGCACCAAGATGGTACACCGTACAACCATCCACTAGGATTATTATTGCCAGTTTGTTGATGCGTGAGCCTGTCATTATTAGTAATTAAGGGGAATGTTAATTCCCGGGTGTATGCGGGTATAGCAACGTACAGAAGATTTGTATACGAGCAAGTCAACGGACTGAACTTACTCAAGATAACACAATTTTTTTATGTATTCTATAAAAAAAAATGAAAAGGGAAACTCCGGAGGTTGCAGGTTTAAACCCCGCTTTTCAATTACTTCGTTCTCCAACAAACAAAAAACCATAAAATCTTGGAACACGTATACAATCAGACGGATGCCTCGGGTTTTTTTCCTCAGAAGTCAAATCATTTTATTTCGCAGAATTTCACAAAGTCTAGCAGTTGATATTTTGTGATTTTTTTTTATGTTCAAATCGGATCTGGAAGGAAAAAATAATTTACTTCCATCTCTTGATTAAAATGCTAGCATGGAATGCATTTTTTTGTCTTTATTAATCTATCCTTTCTAAGGCATTTCATGTTTTTAAGATGTCCACTAACATTTGCTTTCGACACATTGATTTCACACAACAGGTTGTTTTTTTCTCTTCTGGTAATTACAATAAAGTCCGACTAGAATAGGATTATTGTCTCGTAACCGACTTTAATAAAAATCATCAAGCCTAAAGTAAATACACTAAATCCTTCTTGATATTACTGTTGTTTGCTTTAACACCTTCTACTGTAACTATTATTAATGAAGTAAATAAATACAATTGGATGATTTGCCAGGGACCGGACGTTTTAGAGTGAAAATCACCCTCATTTTCCATTGAAATAGTCTGAAAAAAGAACCACTTCAGTCGAAGCTCGAGTGAAAACTTGATCTTTACGATATTGAAGAAATTTTACTCTAAAACGTCTGGTCCATAGTTTCCGACTGTGGGAGTGAATCTTCAACTCGAATGGAATGAATTTTCACTCTTCAGAATTTAGGGAGTGAAGTAATACTTCTCATAGAAGCTTGACTATACAGGTTCATGTTTATTTGCTGGAGTAGGCTGCGATACGTAGTGCAGAAAAGGATAAATTAAACGCCCTGTCTAGATTGAAGAGGACACGAGGGGATTTAGGGGATTAAGCTGACGGAAAGGGGGTTTCACAGGCCGATTTAAAAACTCTCATAATGCACCTTCGCGCTATCGCATATAAAAGACGAGCTCGCGCTCGAAGATTGATCCCAGGGGCATCCTACGACCGTGTTCACTAACGTATCTCAATTTTAATCAATCTGAAAATAGAGATTGGTAGAAAAAAAGTATATTTAGTGGACGAAGATATAAATTCTGCGCGACGGCTGTTTCATGTTTGCTTTTATATGATTTAACCCTTTGGCTCCCAGGAGAATAAAGTACTGATGACTCTCCGGTACCAGGAGCATTTGGAGAAAAAATTTAATTGTGTATAGCGCCCTCGTACATGCATGGAGGACAGAGCCCATTGCTTGCCCAGCAAATGTAAACAATATGTGAACTAGTAAACCGCCTGCATGTTTATTACCCTTGATGTGTTTGCCATGATTATGTAAACGGACACGCGCTAATGCAATCTATTTAGGAACTACATGTAGTTCAAGCCCCCCCCCCCCCCCAAGTTCAATGTTGTTGGGAATCGGGCGTGCAGGCAAACTGGCAAATTCCCCTAGCAACATTGCAATGGGGGGGGGGGGGGCGGGAGGAATAATGTTTATAATCACATAATTGAGTAGTCTGTTTGATATGCTTCAACCATGGAGTTAGATACACAACGCATAATAGGAGACATTTCGTCGAGAGGAGGCGCTATTTACATTGTCGCAAAATGCAGAGTGGCTTGGTGCCAAAAGGAAGAAGTGGCGTTCGACTTTTGGTGCCAAATGGCAAGGGCGGATCCAGGGCGGGGGTGCAAAGGGGGCCATGCCCCCCCCCCCCCTAAAAAAAAAAAAACGAAACCATTTTTTTTTTATGTGACATCGCAATAAAGGCAGGCAATGAGTACACCACCATCTTTTCCTCAAAAAAACATTGGTTAAAGTGGTCAGAAATTGTCTCAGATCGCACCACAGAGCATCTAGAATCCAAAATTTTCGGGGCCCTTAAGCGGGCCCTGAACCCCACGCCGTAATTTTTTTGACCCACTTTTTGGGGGGACCAATTTTTTTTTGGCCCCCCAAAAAATTGTGTTCTGGATCCGCCCTTGCCAAATGGAGCCCATGGAAGTGAATGGGTTAATGACACAGCAGTCATGGTTGAGAGCCCTATATTTGGAATGGTATCTATGCTATGAGTTTTATCTTGAACATGTTTCATTAATTTTTGTCGGTTCCATCATTTATATCACCAGGCACACTGGTGAATTCACCAAAAAGATGTAAAGTGTCAAATAATTATGTGATCTAAAACACCTCGGAATGATGGGCAAATATAATGCAATGTAGAAAAATCTCCTTATAAAGGGATATTGGCAGTCTGTTGGCAGCCGCGGTACTCCGCCCTTTTGCGTTAAGTACGTGCTTAGTCTCAAATTAGTCGCATGCGTTCATAATTATGCAAAATCTGTTTCCTGTCCTGCTGAACATTCACGAGGCTACCTGTAAAAGTGCAGGTACCATAGGCTTTCAAACAAATCACAACGCTATACTTGCAAGAACAGCTACACTGAAACGCAATGTAGCATCAAATGAGAAAACCAAGATTTTGATTTTTTTTGCTGGTAAATCAACGTGATGGTAATCGCACAAACTACAAGGCGAATATTTCGATTACTTAAGTACAAATCAGTGAACACTAAATTTCATCATCAGATCTTAGAAAAAATTTTTTTGAGGGGGTTGTTTTCGCAACTTGCCGCCTTACCCCCTCCCCGTACAAATACAAACAATCTTACCACGCATAATGAGCTAAGCTATCACCGACACCATGAAGTACTACACTCCACGTGTTAAACCACATTTTTTTTCCCGGTTCTCATTCATCAAGGCCTGCCATTGCACGAAATTTTAAAGCTTCAAGAGCTTTACTTTAATAATTACGCTTATTATCCATGGCAACTTTTGCGCGAAAGTGACAATTTTCGTTTTCACCATTGTAATGCATGGCGCGCACTCTGCTCAAATGCTAGTCTTGGTTCCAAGACCTTCGTTGAATACTTTTTCTCCCGGCGTGCGAAAATTATATTGCACTAGTACAGGCGCAGCCCGCGATGAAAAACTGTTATCGATTCTGCAATGTACTCGATACTTATTCACTGTGTTTATTCAACGAGTATCGATTTTAGCGCAAACGATTCTGTACTTCTGTAATGTACCGCGTCAACCTCGTCCCCAGGGTGTCGAGCAGTACGCGCCCACCACTACCTGCTCTCTCACCCTGGTATTGGATCATTTGCATTTGCAAGATTTTTGAACACGTATGCAAATGAGGAACAGTCTGGTGCCTGGATATGCGTTACACATTAGCGTTTGTTTTTGTATGCGGTGTCTGGGGTAAAAACAGAGTCAATTCGTAGCAGCGCGAGCACGGCGTGAGTTACGAAAACACGATTTTTGAAATCAAACTGTAACGATCTTATCGAGACAACATGCAGTATCATATTTCATATAAATATGAGCAAATTGGAAAGGAAATTAGTATTTTCGAGAAGGCGTGGACGAATGATCGCAAAAACACGTACTGCACGTTGTGAATAATAGCACCAAGTACACGATAAAAATCCATTACTAGCCAATTGCAGTATCCAATCAGGATACAGGAAGAACGTTTACTATCCAGGGTTTACTACTGGAAACGCGGTTGGAAATAAAGCACTGGGGACGAGGTTGGTACCGCGTATAATATATCGTCCGTATATGCGCGCTGTGGTCCTGTGAAGTGCGCCCTCTGTTGAGTGAAAACAATTGTTTTACAAAAGTATTCATTGGTATGATTACACACGTACACAAACAACGCAGATAGTAACGTCTTGGAACCAAGACTACTCAAATGCGAGCAAAAGCGTTTTCACGAAGAAACACTCACCTTGTTCAGCGCGCGCGCGCTGACCTCCGTTTCCACGAAGTAACACTCTCCTAGTGTTGTAATACATTGAAGCGTGCTACTTCGTGAAAACGAAACAATTTCGCAGCTTTTTTTGGTGTTACGAACTAGCACTAATTTTTTTCTATTATTTCTTGTTGTTTTAATATACAAACGGGTCAAAAACAGCAAATTTAATAACATAAATACATCAAGTGTCCACAACGAGAAACCCAACTGAAATTACTCTGCAGTTTTGGCGCAAAGTGTTGTTCTAGAAGGCATTCAACTTTAGATGCCGTTTTCTCCGATTGCTAGTTTTTACTGGTATGTACATGAGTGTTACTTCGTGGTGTCGATGACGTTCAAACATTCTTTACCTAATTGTTAGGCACTGGGCAGCAAAATGACGAGGCTACCAGCAATCAAGGTGATTTAACGACCACTTCTATGTTATATAAGTCAACACTTCGAGCATCTCATGATAAGATGTGCATATCTGGTGTCGAAACATCAATTGACGGACCTCACTCGCACTAATGGATAAACCTAAAATGGGATGTTTTGGGGCATCAGTTTTCCTTGCTTTAAGCATTATAATGATGCTGCACCTCAAGTCAGTTCTAGGAGGCAAGATTTTGGTGGCTCCTACGAGTGGGATGTGCAGCCATATGATTTCCAGCATCGAGATCGCCAAAACTTTGTCCTCGCGAGGGAACGAGGTATGGGTCGTCATGAATGAGGAGACCCATCGCCTGTACGTGCAGGGACGCATGGAGATCCCGGACCAGATCCACTTCGCGCTCTTCAAGACCTCTGTCACCGACAAAGATGGCGACACGTTCCTCCGGCGGTACGTCTCCAAACAGTTGCGAGACGAGCGCGCCAGCACGGCCCTGCAATACCGCATCGAAGCCGAGGATCGCGAGATACAAGCACGCCTGGCTGGACGGAAAATGGACGTCTTCAAGGCGTCCAGTTTCGTCAACGATGACATGCTGGGAAACTCCGAACTCATCGAGAAGCTAAAGACAGTAGGATTTGATATAATCGTCGGTGATTTTATCTCATGTTATCAAGTGTTTCTGAGCCAGGTTCTCCAAGTGCCATACATTCATATTGGTCTGACGCCAATTGCGCCGTCGCAGCACGACTACTTTGCCCACACGCCGAGCAATCCAGCCTATGTCCCCGAGAGATTCAGCGCGCTCGCCGATACCATGACCTTCCGGGAACGTCTTAAAAACACCTTATTGTACTGGGTCATGAGTTACACCTACCAAAAGTACATACTGACGCCAATGGACGAGGTCCTACTTAAGCGAAACATCAGGCCCGATGCCAACTTTGGTCAGCTGCTGTCGGAAGCTAAGCTGTGGATCTTCAACTCCGACTTCGTCGTGGATTTTCCACGTCCGCTGAATCCACAAGTCAAGTTCGTTGGTGGATTTCTGACTGGTCCCGCCAAACCACTAAACAAGGTTATTTTCGAAACCTCATTTGACCAAACAATCAATGTAGAAACAAATAGAGCTGTAGTCAAGTTAATCACAATTATGGTCAAAGGAATATAATAACAGGACGTCTCGAAGACGAGACGTCCTGTAAGGACTCGACTGCAACACTGGAGACGAGTGATCAGTGTTTGCCTCTTCAGTTCAAAACAACGCAAAATAGATGACGAAATAACAATAGTTGTTATAATCATAATGTTTTAATATCAAAAAATCTCTTTTCCCCAACAAAGGAGTGGCAGTCGTTTGTTGATAGCTCGGGCGACCACGGCATAGTCATTCTAGCACTGGGAACTCTCATCAACGATGAACTGACGGAGCAACAAGCTGAGAACATCGCCTCCAGTCTGGCTCTACTCTCTCAGAAGGTGGCTTGGAGTTACGGCGGTAAACTACCAAAGACTCTCGGTAACAACACCAAGGTTGTCAAATGGCTGCCGCAAAACGACCTGCTTGGTAAGATGAATAGTAAATATATTTTACAATAGTTTTGGCAACTAGTTTTACTATGCATAACAATGTACAGGTACTGATGTACCAAACGTATAGGCATAGTGTAGGATTTAACCTTTGTCCAATTTGACAGCCGCAAACCGATCGGCTTGATAAAAGCCCTATATTAAAAAGCCAGTAGGCCTATGCTTTGCATTTTTTAAAACTTATACAAAGACTACGGGCAGCCGAAGGCTGTTACATGTTAAATTCGTGAATGGGGCACTGGACTTTAATCATTCGGCACCTATAGAAAGGCAGCATTCCCCGAGCTTCAAAACAAACACTTACTTTACACGTTGTAAAATATCTGCAACAGTGCTTTATTCCGATACAGTTGTAACGTAAATGCAAGAAGGTCTCATAGTTTGTTTGTTTCCTTTTTTTCTTCTCAAACCTCGACTTTGTCCCCCTTTAGGTCACCCGAAGACCAAAGCTTTTATTTCCCACGGTGGTCTGAACAGCATCCATCAGTGCATCTACCACGCCGTACCAATTGTGGGAATCCCAGTCTTTGGGGATCAGAAGGATAACTTTATTCGTCTCGGCGCCAGAGGAATGTCCATCTTACTCGACATTCGTCGTCTGTCTGATCGTTCCATCTACGACGCCACGGTGGAAGTCATTTATAACAAAACGTGAGTTGAAGGCTGAATTCAAGCCCATTAGAAACGGTTGCTGTTCTTTTAATATCGTGCGCTCGCTTTCGCTTTAGTTTATACGCCGCGCAAAACTTTAGAGGTAAAGTGATCAAATTGATTTCCATTGCAATATTTTTGTTAGAATCTCTTAGGCCAAAAAAAAGTCTCCGGTTTCTGGTATGGAGCTTGCCCAAAAAGTGGTGCGGCGACGCGGCTTTTTTTTTTTTTTTTACCTGATTTTTTTGCTTCAAATGTCGACTGATGACTGCAAATGGTGCCCGACTAAACTTAGTGCAAATATATGGGAGTCCAGAGAGGCCACATAAAACTTATTCTCGACCATAACCCAATCTAAAAACACGTTAAAATTGTGCAGCAGCAGGATTCCAGTCAAACCAGTGAGTTTGGCGGTTTTGGGACATCATCTTTCATTGAAAAACAAACTTTTTCATTTTGCCGACGCGCATGGCTACGGCAACGCGCGCGCATACCCGAAACCGGAGACTTTTTTTTTTTTGGCCTTAGCGTCTTGTTTTTTTATCCGTGTAGTCAAGTCCATCACAAGTCCGTTTCAAGTCCAGTCACAAGTCAGTAGGAGAAGATAATGAACAATACATAGAATGCCTTTGAAACGTCTTTTGTGACTTGACTCGTTACTTATAATCGATGACTTGTGACAGACTTGAAAATTACGTGAGCCAAAAACATGTCTTTGCGTCCACCATGTTACAGGTACAAAGAGGCAGTCGAGCGTTACTCAGCGATTGCTCGCGACCGCGTCATGCCGATGACCCCACTGGAAGAGGTCGCTTACTGGGTGGAGTACGCCGTCAAACACGGCACAGATCATCTCAAGCCACGCTCCATGCACCTGTCGTTCGTTCAGAACTACCTGCTGGACGTAATTGGCGTCACTGCCATCATGGCTGCAGCCATATATTGGTGCCTTACCAAAATCTGCTGTGGACTATTTAGAAAGTTAAGTCCATAAATGGGTTCATATTTGTAAGACTGAGACAAATGTAACAATGATGAACAGTGGAAAAACGATGAACATCGAAGACGGTATTATTACTCCCAACATTTCAGTCAGAATCGTAGGTTCTGCGTGCACGGGCGTCGCTGAATTAATTCAAGTGTGGGGTTGGGACCGGGAGGAGGGGGGACAATGAAATTTTCCAAAGACGGGTCCGGGAGGGTGGTTATGATAGCCAGGCATTTCCCCCGTTTATTTGGCCGCCGCGAAATCGAAACGCTGGGGAAGGGCGCTTAGGGGTGTATAGGGAGGAGGATTTTGACATTAGCTGACGAATGGGGGGGGGGGGGGGGCTCTATTCAAGGCGGACAGGACTGGACGTCTTACAAAAGTTGCCGCTAGGTGGCGCTGTTGAAAGCGGTTTATTTCCCGACACGATTTTTGTCGACAGGACAATATTATGCCAGCTAAAATGACTCACCCCCTCTAGTGACGCCCCTGCCTGCTCGAGAAGATAAGCTTCGAATGTTTTAACCGTTGATTTTCCAGAAAAATTCAAACGTAGGATCACCATATGCTTATCTTGTTATTAATCAATTAACGATATTAAATACCGGATTATCCGAACATAATGCCTAATGCCAACGAAGCTTTCGAGAATATACGGATTAAAGCTTAAAAAAAAGAGAATATTAATTTAAAGATGTGAGATTACAGTTCTTATTTCTGCACCTTTAAGTGCATCCTATCTTCAACTTCATTTAGGTCAATAGAGGGCGCTATACGCGCACCAAGATGGTACACCGTACAACCATCCACAAGGATTATTATTGCCAGTTTGTTGATGCGTGAGCCTGTCAATATTAATAATTTAGGGGGATGTTAATGAAGGCCTGCGGGTATGAAAAACGTACAGAAGATTTGCATACGAGCAAGTCAACGGACTGAACTTACTCAAGATAACACAATTTTGTATATATTCTAAAAAAAAAATTGAAAAAGGAAACTCAGGAGGTTGCAGGTTTAAACCCCGCTTTTCAATTATTTCGTTCTGCAAAAAAAACCCAAAAAACAAAAACAAAAACAAAAACATAAAATCTTGGAACACGTATATAATCAGACGGATGCCTCGGGTTTTTTTCCTCAGAAGTCAAATCATTTTATTTCGCAGAATTTCACAAAGAGTAGCAGTTGATATTTTGTGATTTTTTTTATGTACAAATCGGATCTGGAAGGAAAAAATAATTTACTTCCATCTCTTGATTAAAACGCTAGCATGGAATGCATTTTTTGTCTTTATTAATCTATCCTTTCTAAGGCATTTCATGTTTTTAAGTTGTCCACTAACATTTGCTTTCGACACATTGATTTCACACAACAGGTTGGGTTTTTTTTCTTCTGGTAATTACAATAAAGTCCGACTAGAATAGGATTAATGTCTCGTAACCGACTTTAATAAAAATCATCAAGCCTAAAGTAAATACATTAAATCCGTCTTGATTTTACTGTTGTTTGCTTTAACACTTTCTACTGTAACTATTATTAATGAAGTAAATAAATACAATTGGATGATTTGCCAAATATGTGCAATTTGCACTTCATAGTTTATCCAAAGTACGCAAATAAAGAAGTACTTTATCATCACATAGCTATAACATAACTCCCGAGTAGAAACACTATTTAAGGGATCTGAAAATTTGGCGAAAACTTTAAAAGGAAAAAAGAAAATATATTTTGGTCATAAATTTTAATGACCTTTCTTACAAGAAATCTTCGTCATTTTCTAGTATAGATTGTAACTGTTATCTTTATTTACAAACGTATTCCATGGTCAACTGTTTAGTTTTCTCCTTTTTTTCTCTCTCCTGTATTAAATGTCCCTTGACAGGGCTAAACTATTTTAAGGCTAAAAACTGAATGACCAGCATTCTGGTCTTTTCGTAAAAACATAAACCAGTGGTCAATCAAACGTGAGTTGAAATAATAAGAATAATAGTGAATCTGTTACAAGTGTTGGGTATGCGATAGGACGCCCTCAGTGTTCTATCGTTCACCCGCCCGCTTGCCGAAGGTGAAGCTGGACAGACCGCTCCGCTTGCCGAACGAGAAGCTGCTGCCGAGGGCGCGCTTGTTGTCCTGCAGGAGGGCGTCCTCATCGGCGAATCTGTCCACATCCGGGACCCCTCTCTTGCCGAAGGTAAAGCTGCTGCCGAGTCCCGCGCGTTTGCCGAAGTCGAAGGAGGAGTAGCCACGCTTGCCGAAGGCAAAGTTGCTGCCAAGGGCCCGCTTGCCGAATGCGTAGGAGCGGAACAGATCGGCTCTCTTTTCCGGGCTCCACGCGTCTTCACGCTTGCCGAAAGTGAGCGAGCGCAGCCCGCTCATGCTATACGGTCCATTGGACCGTTTGCTGGCGTCAAGCTCCTCCTCCAGACCGGTCAACTCGTCGTCTCGCTTGGCTACGCTGTACGGGTTGACCTCATCTAGTTCCCGCTTTTGATACTGGTAAGGGAGGAAGAATTGCCCTCTCTTGCCGAATACGAAGCCGCTGGGCCGGCCCGGTACGTCTGTTCTCCTGCCGTACGGGTAGAATGGCTGCTGCGCTGCCAGATCAATCTCACGTTGCCTGTCGCTAACATCTCGCTTGGTGGCGCTGTGTAGATGCTGGTCATCACTGTCCCTGATTCCTTTTAAATTGTCAAAACCATTCTGCAAAACAAGGCACACACAAAAAAGAAAGCATGAAATAATACACGTCAATCAACAGGGTCAGATTTTTGGAAGAGGAAAGCAACTTTACGCACGATTACCGGGGAGCTAAACCATTTTTGTCCAGTTCCCCGACTTCAAACTGATATTTGCAGTTTAACCGGCATCCCAGGTACCGTATGTCACCAGTCTATTGGACGTCAATTGCTATCCAAAAAGAGCTTAAATTCATCACGTTTTGCGCAACACTTCAGAACATTAACGCAGTTTGAGATGCCTATCACCATATTTTATCTGTACAGTATGGACTGTGTTATTTCACCGTTATACTTGCAGTTGTTCCTTCCGCATTCTGCTCTGAAATAGTTATAATTATTCGTTGGTATCTGTCAAGCCCTAAGCGGTTCCTTTTATGTGACGAGTAACTGTTTTGGTGTCGGTCTATCAAAGCCCGGATGTGTTGGCTAAACCTGAGGGAGCCAGACTAAAATAATGGCGAATGTAAAATGAGTCCCAGGGCCTTTGTCGCTTATTAACTTCTCTCGCAGTCAGTACTTATGCCGAAGGGTACTTTAGCCGACGAGGTGTAGTACGTGTTCAGCTCGTCAAATAATTCTTATTGAAAAAAAACCCGGATTTTAACAAACATTCGAAGGGTGATAAGAGCGAGTTCTGCCGCCTGAGGGCGTCTGAGGCGCTCAGTGTTTCTGAGGACTCCGGAATGACTTGATTAAATTTCGGAGCAATCGACAATTGTTTTGCTTTGGAGATAACCTAGATGATAGCAGTAAATAGGAGGGATAGCTTAAATAATAACACGTTTTTGCCCCCTCCAACACCCACGGCATAACGTTATTACTATAACACGCCGATCTGTTTTATAATGACTCGCGAATAGTCGTCTGGTCTAGTGGGAGTTTCTCCACCCGGGGCCCCTCGGACCTCGTTGGGAATCGCCGGGAAATTACACGCATTGCCCGGGCCGCGCCGCCGCACCGCCGCACCACGCCAATTAAAATCAACACAATATCCGTCTGGGCCCCGCTGGATGCTAGCGGTGCTTTGAATTAGCCTCCAAACCTATTTTCATTTGATCAGCAAGCATCCTAAGGTAAATCCTGTTCCTCTAGCTCTAGAACGAATGCTTTTAAAGGATGTGGGCCTATAAGTAGAGAGAGGAAGTGACCCCAGTTGACCCCACTCCATGGTTAAAAGTGGCGGCACATCAGTGAAGCAGTCGACAGCTGTTAATAGCGCACGTGTGTTTGTTGCTTGATATCATTGGAATGAATTGAATTCTTCGCTGGTCAAGATGGCAAGAGTGGCCAATAACATCACAATTTGACTTCGGGGAACCTGACCAAGATGCCGGAGGTAAGGACAATCAATTAGGTCCAAAATTACTTCCGCCGAAAAAAAATATATATTTACTTACTTTCTCTATCTAGAGATAAAGATTTTGTAATGACGAAGGGGCGCAGAGATACATCTCAGCTTTAATAATAAACAGTTCTTATATAGCGCATAATACATTAAGTCTCTATGCGCTTCTGGTGAACAGGTGAGTTTTAACAAGTTGTTTGAATTGATCCAAGGTGGGACAGGTTTTGATATGGTTAGGGAGATCATTCCATAGTTTGGGAGCAGTGAATTGAAAGGCACGTTGACCGTATGATTTGGTGGTAACTGGGTAAGGAGTAAGAAGATCTCAGTGGAACTATAGAGCGGAGGGTTCTTGGTGGTTGGTATTTGTTGATTAATTCTTGGAGGTAAATTGGTGCTAATCCATGTATGCATTTGTAAATCAGAACCAGTAATTTGAAAGTTGTCCGGGATTTAACTGGTAACCAATGCAGCTCATGTAGAACTCATGAAAGTGGGTTCATGCAAGCGTGTGAAGTGTGTTTATTTGTTTTGTCTACATCATGGAGTAGACCCTGAACGTACCCCACCCCACCCCTCCTCTCCTTTAAGTGCAGATAAATGGACGTAGGGCTATTATTAAGGGAAATTTTACCCAAACAATTTGAAAGTGAATGTGTCATGGACACCATGGTCACTTTTAAGTGTTTGTCCCCGGCTGGAAGTATGCATAAGAGCACTTATCATTGGTTTCATTGGCGATTTATTCACTTACTTCCACAGTTATTAGCGCCTGTACGCGCCGCTAGGCTTCCCTGGCTAATAGAGAGTATTACAGAACAAACACTGAAATGATATAGGCCTAGGTTCATTCTGTTATTCGCTACCTTCATCCTTAATACGAGTATTGTTGCTCCTTAATTGGAGAAATATTAGTTACTGTCGCCGCTGAGAAATAACGACATAGGACTGGTCTAATTTGTTCCAGACCAACTGTTTTCATTTAGCTTAGTTAGTGAGTCCACCCACATAATTATTTTCATTAAATTTTGGCGCATTACAGTCGCCCTGAATCATTTAGTCTGCCGGTGTGAATAATTTGTGACGATTAAAATGTCCTTCAAGGCTTCAAGAACTACTAAATAAGAGATGAAAGGATTGTTTTCCTGATTGAAACTGGAAAGAAATTAGCACTAATCGATGTGTTGTGGTCGCGGATTCAATCGAGGTTTTTTTTTTCTGGCGTGGGCGATCGACAGTGAAACAATAGAGATTAAAACTAATAGCGCATCTGGACCGTTATATTATGTGGAAAGATTAAAGAGTCAAGGGGAAAAATGTACCATGCGCAGTACTTTCTCTGGGAGGGACTGCCCCTACTTTCCCCGAGAGAGATCCGTATTCGACATGAGATCTGCAATCATTCCTGAATGACCCTATCATATATCATGCCTCGAGTGACTATAGAGAGCCATTGGGGTGATTATACACACTCCACCGAAATGTCATGGCGCGTTGAAGTGATTAGTACACTGTTATCATATCATCGATGGATAGGCAGAAGCAACTGTCTTGGTTTTGCAAAACATTATTTTGTCCGTGACTCGACCAAATGCAATTTCGATTGTGTTTGCAACCATTAACCAACGATTTCACAATTTCTTTCGACATGGGAGAACTCTGAGCTTTCTAATCGAATTTAGCACGGCTAAATGTTCTGCAATCACCGCATTACTTTTATACTACATGTGCCCATAAGACCCTTTTAAGCTAATTAGGTGATTTTATGTTATCCCACTTCTGACACCAATTGCGATAAAGGTTTGTGAGCCTTCAAAGTAAAGTTTCCCGGTCGCAAAAAGATCTCTGCTGTTATAGACCGCATATAATTTGTGTGTGTTGTGTGTACTACTTCGGAGGACCTGTTCTTGTCTATTTCACATGCGAGCCTATTATATCGAATCCCACTTCTGACACCATCCTTACCGTCCTCTCAGCAGGGTAAAAGTCTTCTTGTTCCTCCGCGTTTGCAGCATCATGACCGGCCGACTGGCATACTAGCAGACTAGCTATTCCAAGAAGGGCTACGAGTCGCAACATCTGAGAAATAAAAAAAAAGGTGAAAGAAGGTGGATTGGTGTTGTCAAGTTGGCAACAATACCTGTAATAAAGCCATTAATAATATAATTGGCAAGAGCAGTTCCGTTGTGGTCCGCATGGACAGCTCTGAAATCCTGGAATGAATTTTCCTTTATAGTAAAGAGGAGGTTTCATACCGGCTAAACACGAAAATGAAGAAATATTTCTTAAAACGAATTTTTTGTGTTTGTTTTTTGTTATCTCGTGCCACACATCAACAATATCATGAAGGTATTGATTGAAAAAAGTGAGCAAAACAACTGAGCGAAACTTCAGAGTAACCATGAAACATTAATGTCAAAATGTATCATTCCTCGGTCACAAATACATCTCCGCGCCGCTTGTTTTGGAGGTTGCCCGCATGTCACACTTAGTCAGCCTATCGGCCTTCAGGTCTTCCTGTAATATTTCGCTTATCAGCTCTCGACAAGTCACGCACGACTTGCAGCAATAAATGTGGAGCTTCTACACCGGTAACTTTTAAGATTGTGCCCCAACCCCTCACACCGGGGTTTTCGTCTACCAAGCCGCGCCGGTGCATCCACGCGTAATCCGCCCGCCAAGCCGATCGATATTATCGGTGTACCACTCGCGCGTGGTTGTGAGTGCTACAAGCATTATTTTTATATTTAGATACCAAAAGAGGTATCAACAAGAGTCAAAGTAGTAGGCAGGAAGCAAAAATGACACCCAATGACGTCAATGAGATATATACTTGGCGAACATTACCCTAAAAACTGTAATGTTAAATGACTTTTGTCACGAAGAAAGGCTTATCAAATACCAACATCACGAGAGTTTGGCGAGACGACTCCAAATGGTATCACGGCATAATTAAATGATGGGAGGTGATTTTCAAATCGCTTCCTTACTACTTGAAGCACGTCCGTCACGAACTTGTAAAATTGGAATGTGCTGTGTCTATCGATACACTTGAAATGGGAGCTGGCTTTTAATGCTGTTTGGCGAATCTTAGCAGCTGAATGTGCAACTTACTATACGTAGCATGTTTGAATGAAGAAAAATGAGGCTGACAATTCTTTTTCACTGTTTTATCATTCAGTGCACAATGTCAAGTTGCAATTTTGAATACCGATGCATTCTGTATGTATGAGTGTTCCAATTGAATAGTGGACCTGGGTAACCATGACGACGCCCTAATAGATGCAAATGTGCACTTTACCCACATCAGCATTATTTGTACAAATTCAATTATTTTTTTATTCCCGAACGGTTGACGCTGAGAACCTGTGACCTATTTTTCGATTAAATGAAATCATTGTTTTTGCTCTGCTTTTTTTTCGGAAATCGTCTCAGGAATTCCCAAGCTCATCGGGCGACAGAGTGAGAACCGAGGCCGACAAAAAGCTCGGAGCCACCGCGGGAAATCCTGGCAACTCCGCGCTGAGAACCGTGCTCGGCATCCAAATCAATTCCCAGTTGGTGTTAACTAAGTTTCTTTCTTCTTCTTTTTTTCCTGACAAATTTAATAAGGTGGTAGATGTTATCCGACACTGATTAAATTGTAATTTTACCGTACGGGTTGTGTGTTAAATGCCTTTGGTGGTGTTACTATAATTGGTGGGTCAAGAAGAAGAAATATATGATTAAATAATTGTTCCAGGTTTTATACCATTATCATTTATTCCAACAACAAGCAAGCGTTATTTCGTTTTGGAAAGTTAAATAAAAGGGAGAATATCGGTCCAAAATCAAATTGATCTGTAATTGTTATTCACGGTTTGACTACTCCAACATTGAGTATTTTTATTAGAAAAGGGAACCTGTGCTCCTGGCTAATACCAGGGGAACACGACCTTTAAAAAGACGGGACCGTTGTTGTTGGATAACTAGGGCCGTGTTTTGATTGCTTGCGCCCAGTGTACCTGTCCGACTTTACCGGCGACAAACCTCACTGCTTTCTGGGGAATTGACGATATTGCGCTATCTGGATTAATAAGTGCAATGACATGATTTTTTTCTCAAAAATTCTAATCTTTGGTGTCAGGTTTCACATCATTTTTTTTCCGAGGGATCCGGGAAGGAGTGTTGCTGGTAATACGGAATGAACATTGTCCGTTCCAGTTGCAATAACCTCCAGCGTGTTCGCGAGTTTCCTCGGGGATATGTTCCAAATAAATTACGATAACAGAGTACGATCACAAGATCAAGTGCAAGCAGAAACGGAGTAGTGTTCTATTTCTTCAATAGTGTGAATGTTTGTGAGGGGTGGCTGTTATCCTGTTCGTGATACAGCAAGGGTACACTGCTCGTAAACGTCTGGAACAACTTTGATTTCGAGAATTTGCAACAATCTACGGGGAAGGCGTCCCATCAGTTCAAAGCCTGAGTGCGAGCTCGACAAAACTATTGTTGAGAATACAGCTGTCTGGTTCCTGATCTCAACAAAATGAATACATACAATCACTTCAAAACACATCGGCATATAGGAGAAATTGCCTTAGTCATTAGGCATGGTCATGGGCCAATTAGTTTGGCCTGTTGCCAAGTGTCCATTATGGAGATAAAGACTTGTGATCAGAGGATCAAGGGTTCGAATTCAGCCGCTGGCCCTTTGTGTCCTTGGGCGAGCCACTTAATCGTAACTTGCCTCTCTCCACCAAGGAATACAAATGATTACCAACATTAGCCGGGGAGTAACATGGGGAGTTACCAGCGATAGTGGACTGGCATCCCATCCATAGATATAGGGAATAGTATTCTCAGTCTTGAAAAAAAAAATGTAAACACCGGCCTCGTGAGCCATATTGCCTCGGAACAAACTTGACTTTACTAACATCAGGACAACAAAATAACAACAATCCATCTCTCAATGTGTCCTCTCTGTCTCTCAATCCCTAGTCATGGTCGGTTGATACCGATCGGCCTTATATTGTAGCCTCGTATATACTCGGGGAGCCGTAAGCGCGCTGAGATGGCTATCGCTTGGGCTAGCGTTACACAATCGATAACGGCGATACGATCAAAAGGAGAAAAAGAAAGAAGAGGGAAAAACCTTTCAAGAGAGCAAACATGTTGTTGCCGAGCGGCTGCCTCTTTTTGTTAGTCTCGCCTGGCCAATCAAGCGCGATGCGCGGAGAGTGAATTTAAGGCGAAAAGTGTATCTTGAACGAGGACAAAAAAAAATAACCGTTTGCGGGAGCTCTGTCCTCCTAATATTGCAATTGCGACACTTTCACCCCTTTTTTGGCTAGAAATTATTGAATAAAACTCTTTAAACTGAATGAAACAACTCGGATTCAAAACTGGTAAAGTACTTAAATTTTAATTCAGTTATTAAATGTTTTTTTCGTGTTTTTTTAAATAATTCTCATTGTTAGTTCATTAAAATAACTGTGATAGGAAATGCAAAATATCTCCCGCTGTACGATAATGAAAAATAATATTTTACTTCAAAAATTCTCAAAATGTAAAATAAACGCTCATAATAGTGTGCTATTAAACAGTTTCATAGATTGTGCGTTGTAGGGAGAAAAATTTTCATTCACGGAGCGAAGTGTGAATTGACGAAGATTGCAAAACACTCTGTCCGATTTGGCTAAATGTAAATGCACCAGGCAAGTATTGATAACACTCTGTGCGTATACACCGACATTCAGACAAGTCTGTCATCAACAAGTCGATGTCTGTTCAAGAGGAGAAATCCACCCCAGCTTGAGAGTGTCAACAATTCCTTGCTCACTCGGGATTACAATCACTTGCTATAAATGATGAGGACCGGTAAAACATTTCCCACGCGTCTGTACCATGCCAGTGTATGTCAGACTTATTTTTGTTTCTATCAACGGGATCGTTCGTGAAGTAAGTGCCGGAAAGCCGTCCTTTAGACGAGGGGACATTTCCGTTTACGCCTGAGAAGCGCACGGCCTCACTTCACTCATCCATTTACACAAGGTGACTTTATAACTGGGGTGAAGCAATGGCCGGAATGAAATGGCGGAGAAGAAGAGAGAACAAAAAGTGCCGCTGACTTTTGGCCTTTTTTTTTCATTTACTGGCTTGTGATATAACCACATTTTGATTTGATAATGATTTAATGCAGTAATCGAGAAAGATGTCATTGGGAATTGTTTTTGTCGGATTTCAAATGGATGCTGTTCGAGGAATGAGCAGGTGACAGTTATTACGATTGTGACGAGGGTCAGACTAATTTGAAGGGAGGGGTGACCATACCACCGTGCAGCCTAAATACAGGGAGGGCTGTGACGGGACATCAGCTGACACTAGGTGGCGCTGTTTAGGGTGGCGTTTTGTTGCCCACTGTGAAACGAGTTTGTCCACGTGAACAATGGTTTTGTTTAGTGAAAAAACATGGCCAAAACGTCATCATGAAACTATGGCCCCGTGATGTAGGCCTACAGTATGATACTTTTCGCTATACTTAAACCAGCGATGTAACCGATTTCGGTATAGGTTATCCTGAAAATTGGCTAGACTAGTCCAACTGTGGTTGACTATAGCGTGGGTGATAGCGAACTCTGCTCAAAGCTGACAATTGCAGTTCTGATCAGTGATGACAGAGCTAACGACAACGCATGTTGCTCGTAAGAATGTTGCAGACTCCATAATATACCAAGCGAGAAAAAAAAACCCTGTAATTGAGTGATTGGTATGATTAATTGTACAGTGAGTGCTGATTCCGGCAACAACGCGAAAAGCGTCAACACATTTACAAAACGAACAGCTTTGCTGACGAAACCTGCGATCCCGCGTCGGGCCCTCAATATGAAGCAATCGCAAATAGGGTGCCTATGCTTCTAAAAAAAATCTACCTCCGTTTCAACCTGATCGCCGCCTGAGTGCTCGAGACACATACGTCGGGAAAAATTAACCGACACACGCTCAGGCCGCCCTTCGACATCAAGAAAAAAATCATTGGAGACCCAAAATATAAACCTAAGCCTACACGTGAGATTTTTTTTCACGTCCTTTCCATTAAG